TCATAATTTATGTGCCAAGCTGATGTGCATTTCCATATAAAGTTTTCATGGCCATGGTGTAGTTAAATCCGTTCCAAAGAAAAACATTTATGTACAGTTCTTCCCGCCCCCCCGTCTACTCCCCCACTACACACCCTGTCTCTCCCCTCTCCCCATGCCTTATGTGGCTTCAGTTTTGATTTCATTGATTGCACACACCAGTGTTTGCAGAGCTGCTGTAAGTAAGGTGGATCAGTTGGGAATTGGAGGCGATTACATTTTTCTCTTTCAGATACATTGTTTCAGTTAAAAGCCACTCTGGCTGCTCCATAACAAAACCAGACACACTGGGCCCCATTGTCCGACTCTTGGACAAGGTAGCGTGTATGGATTAAGTGATGAATTGCAAAAAGGGCCTAAAAGCCAAGCTGTAACTTCACAAAAAGGCCATTAAAGGTGAGCGGCTGTCGGTAAAGTGCCCATTTAGAATGGCTTTTATGACCCTGGGCCTTCCTGAGACATGCGCGAGCCACAAATCGCTCGGTCTTCCAGGTTCTCACTGCAACAGCAGTGCCGCCCGAGAGACAGGAGGGCCCTTCTGCACGGCGACACATCTACATCTTAATTCAATTGTGAGAGCAGCTTGCTACTGGAAGGTGGTTTTTCTCCCCCCCCCCCATCCCTGAATCTTTAGAATTATCAACATCTAGGAATGAGTCTAATGGCCTTAAAATTTCAAAGTCAAAAGCAGACAGTATTGTCATTTTTCTAAAGATGAGAGAGAGAGAGAATGAATATTGGAGAAGAATATACAGTACAGTGAGTATCTTATTTACTCCTTGTGTACTTAGTTACTCCGTGAGATCCTTTTGGAATTATAGCCCCCGTCTCCAGTTCAACTGAAAGCTGTTCATATGTGTCCTCATTTCCCTTGGTTTGAGCATCTTTAGTGACATCCTGGCCAACCTTTTATTCAGCTGTAAATGTCCTTTATGTCTGTATAGGCCTAAATGTTCAGAAACGGTGGGTCATTTTTGAGTGTCTAACTGAAAAGGCTTTAAAGGGGTCTGACTGTAAGAAAGCAGATGGCAGATAGCGTAAGTGGGGAGGACTGGCTGTTAAGAGGGATGGATGACTATTGCAAGGGTAGGGTGTGAGCGTGGCAAAGGTCTCCAGAATGGTCTTTTCCTCCTGGACGGGCTGGGTAGCACAGTGAGCCAAAGCACTTTTCCATCTTTGGAGGCCTCCTAAACTAGATTCTGACCTAGAATGAGTGCAGAAGGCGTCATGGGTCTCATTCTTCCTGTGTGCACTCTGTGTGCACAGGCACAGTTTGCTGAGATGGCCAAGCTCTGCTCAAGCAGAGGTCGAAGTACGTTGGCAGTGCTACGTGTGGGTAGATTTCCCAGCATCTTCCCCCACTATGCCTAGTCCGAGGTTGTGCTCTTGGTCCCACGCTCCCATAAACATTAACATTCAGCTACAAGTGAGAAAGGTTTTTCAGAATTGTGCTGCCTGACTGTGGGGGAGGCACTACAGTACTGTTATGCTGAAGAACGCTAAGTAAATACCTGAATAAATGCAATTGGATGGAGATTATGGGTCTTGGTCCTGCTAGTCTTACTCTCATAAGTAGTTCTGGTCACTTCAATGTGACTACTCAAATGAGTAAAATCTGTTCCTATGAGCATCATGAGATTGGGCCCTCTATGCTGAGCACTTCGGTCGTCTGTGCCAAAAGCCAAGGCTTGAGAGGCGAGAATAGAGGAACACAGAGCAGGCACAAAACAGAATAGGCCAGGTTCCTAGCTAGGAGACAGTGAACTGTGAGCAACCTGAGACCTTTTACAATCCATGTACAACTCCCTGGGAGAGAGGAGGCTGCTGCATCCCTGCCTGGCACAAATCCCACTGAATAATTCAGCAGCCGGAGTAAAACCGTGAAAGAAAAATGCTGACATGCCCTCTAGTATGTAAAGAGCCTTCCAGTAGGGGAAAGTTCTCTGCACCTGACAGGCTCTGGGAGCTGGCAGCCCACCCTGGAAGCAGCTGGCAGCTTTGCAATAAGTGTTGTTTAATCAGAGAACCAAAAGCAACGGAAGTGGGGCTTAGCACCATCCAGGCAGGGCTCTTCCCACACAGGGACCTTCTGCACGCTCTTGGCTGCACAGTATTTCACAGGAGAGTGTGTTGCAGAGTGCACTTCTCTTTTGCTGCAATGAGCATGTAGTATGTTTCCAGAGGCCTTTGGGAGGAGGAAGAAAGATACTAAAATGTATGCCAAATTAATTCAAATGTATCTTATGTCCACCTGCTGGTGCAGCCTGTTGCAAGGGTGAAGGCCCTCTCTACACCCATATATAGAATGGTCAGCCAATGTTCTCGGCCGGGTTGTTTCCCTTTCATTTTTATGTATCATTTATGCCATTTTGTAATCGCAGTAGGACAATGCAGGCTGCACACTGCAGAGGGATTATTGCGCTTGGGTGGTTAAAAATGCTCTGCCTTATGCTTTATTATAACAAGAGATGGTTGGAGAAATTTCAGTGGAACCATGTCCAGTCGGAATATGCACTTCTGTTGAATTAACATGCCTTTGTGAAATCAGGTTAATTTCGCCAGAATTTCATTTCAGAAGAAAAATGGGGAAAAAAACTTCCAGCAGGGTCTAAAACATTCACTTCTGACATTTTCAAAAAGAAAAGTTTTGATTTTTCATTTTGAAGCAACTTTTTAGTTCAATTTTTAAAAAATGTCGTGTTATAAAATATAATGGAAAACTTTTGAAAGTTGAAATTGAAACAAAGTCAGATTTTGAAATCTCAAAATCCTTCATGAAACAGAACTTCGGTCCTCTACAGATCTCTGTAAGTAACCCAACCGAAGGCACATTTTAGTTGACTGAAAAGGTACTGCCTGTGTTGTCGGATAACTTTGTAAAGGGTCATAAAGTTTGTGAGCTCGCTGGAGAAAGAACTAAAGTGTTGTCAGGTCTCTCTCTCATCAGCTCTCTAAGTATCAAAACCATTTCACTTCCAAAATGGGTGGCTAACAATGGCTGATGAAGGGAGTCTGTCTAGGTCAATTGCACGACACCTGGAATCCCATGAGAGAATTCATCTACTGATCAGTAAGAGCACATCACACAGTGATATACACCCTTCCTTTGGGGCCACTTCAAGATTCGGGTTCTGAAATGTAAAGCTCTGAATGGTCGTGGGCCAGCGTGTGTATCTTCACCTGCAACTATCCAACACCGCAGTGCTCATTAGGGCATGCAGATAAGGGTGTAGGGTGACCCTTTTGGGAGACGTGGGACTGCTCAGTGTTGGGCCTTAGGCCATGGGATACACTAGCCAAGGAGATGGGATTGAGCCAAGTCTGACTGCTTCAGCTGCCTTGTGGACATGAACTTCTGCAGCAATAACAGGGATGGGAAAGTCAAGTTTAAGCAGTTGACTCACATAAGAGCAGAGTCTTTTGATTGGTGCCCGATACTTAGACGCCTGCTTCTCTCCTTCCTGGGGGATTGATGGGGGCTAATTAGTGTTTGGAAACTGCTTTGAAATCCTGACAGGTACAACCCTGTAGACTTGCAAAATGTTATGATGAGCACGTGCAAAATGCTGGAATTCACAACAAAGAGGTGGAGCCACCTAAAGTCCAACAGGAGCCTGGCTCCATTAGGCACCCTTTATATTCTGAAGAGCCAGACACAATCACTTTTCACTGGGGAATATGGTCTGAAAAGTCTCCCAGGACAAGGAGATTCAGATAATTTTAAACAGAGTTTTTTTGTCTCCTGCTTCCTCCAAGTACTGGATGAACGTGGTGCTCCAGAAACTAAGGGCTGGATGTCTCTAGCTGGAGCCACACATTGTGCAAGCTTCCCCTTCTACAGCTGCTCCTTGATCCAGACTCAGTGCTGTTCCAGCCTCGGAGCCCTACGCAGCTCTGCCAGTGCACCTCACCCCTGCACCACCGCCTGCCACTTGAGTCCAATACTTTGCTAGTGCACAGTCTGCCAGCTGAGTCTCTGTGCCAAGAACAAACCTCCACTAACCAGAAACAAGCCCCTCTCATTTCACTTGCGGCTGGCGAAGAACTGGAGGAAGGAAAGGGCTATGTGCGCTAACCCACGCTCAGGGACCCAAGGGACTATAAACTGATTGCCTTTCCTCACTCTGTTGCAGTTGTCTCCACGGAAGTCACCCCGCTCCTCTGCCCTGGCCAGATCAGTTCTTCTGGCACGGTGCCATATGCAGGGCTCAGCTTTGACATGTCATAGCCTCACACTTTGCAGAGAAGGTGTTGGAAAGGCACAGCAGCCTCTCTCGGAGCTGCGCTCTTTAAACTTTCCGCTGATTAGGGGCCTTTTAGCACTCAGCCGGCTCTTCCTAATGGATTTTTCCTTTTCATTGAGACTCCTTTTTTGCAGGCACGGCCAGAGTAAACAATCCTGGATGTTTTGAGGGGGGCAGAGAGTCAGAGCGGGTCCAAATGCGTCCAGACAAGCACCGTGTACAAATCAATATGCGTCAAGGGCAGAGTGCTGCTGGCGAGGAAGATCCCAGAGCAACAGAGGCTGTTGGCTGGGAGCCGACCCCCGTTGCGAGCATGAAAGAGACAATTGTGAGTTGAGCTGCTGGACCAAGAAGGCCACACCTGCAGCCCAGGGCCTTTGGGGAGTCTCGAATGGCCCAGGGGCGTCTAAGGGAGCATCAAGACATTCCGTTTAATGATAGAATCTTACATCAGAGCTTGGCGTTAGTCACTCTCTCTGCTGACTCATTTCCAGTAGTTGAGGCCAGGGGAGGTGGCTTAGCAAGCTAAGTGACAGAGATTTCAGACTCTTCGGCACATCTGCAGGATGGGCTCAGTTCAGCCATTTGTTGCTCTGAGGTCGATATATTTACCGACCTCCATGCAGCTTCCTTGTTTGGTGCTCTTTCAGGCATGACCCTCAAAATACAGCTCTGCATTTGATCCCCGCCCCCTCCCTCACCCGCAGCATCCCTTGTAATAGTTAAGGTTTGCCCCATGCCTTGTCACTATCCTGACTTCCATAACCTGCCAAGCCAAAGGGCTAAGCCAGACAACATTGTAATAGAAACGAGGGAGGTCACATTATGGACCTTTCCCCCTTCTTGCCAAGAGGCTGCCAGGGGAATATGACCTGCAGGCAAATGGCTAATGCTGCAGTTTGGATGAGCGTTGGGACGGTGCTATCTTTTTGGACTAGAACGTGAAAGGTGTTATCACGTGGGACTTCCTGGGCTGTGGTGGAGTAAGAAAAGGCATCAGTCCAGAGCTGATGAAAGATCCCATCACCAAGGAACCAACCTCTTCACATTCCTGGGATAGGATGTGACAGCCTCATAATGAAGAGCATTACGGGGTAGGGAACAATCCCCAGTGTTGCCAACTCAAACATTCAAAAATCATGATATTTTTTTAAAAATTGAGGTTCTGCTTATTTTTTCTGGTTTGAGCCTTTAGAATTCATATTTTCATGATTTCCCCCCTACAATCTTGAGAGTTACAGACTTACCTTTTTGTCCCCCGTTCAATGAAAGCTGGATTTCTTAGGTAATCACAACACCAGGAGATGGAGCTTTAAGGAAAACACCAAATATCACGTAAAAAGCAACAGAGTTCTATGGCACCTTTAAGACTAACAGATATCACAGGGGTGACCCAACCCGTCACAGGCTCACAATAAAAAACATGCATTGGCAACACTGAAGTTTTTTGGGGTACCCAGTGGAGGCTCGAAGTGCAGTAATTGTACAATGATAATGCTTTTCATCTTCACAGCTCTTACAGTCCCGGGCATGCAATGGATTCCTATTGGCAGGGGCAACATGCATCCGACCTGGTTATAATAGAATAGGAAGAAGGAGAGGTGGATTTATTGAGCGCTCACGTGTCTCAGCCTGGTGAAGGAGGGTGAACAGCTGCCAGGCTCCAGGATCAGTGTATTTCACTATCATTTCCCCATACCGTCTAGCACACAATCCAAGTAGGAAGAAGCAGCTGCCATTTTGATGTCTGGGAAGGTCATCCTGTGTGTGTGTGTGTGGGGGAGGGAGTGTAAGTATCCATGAACAAACAAGCAAGCAGCCTAGAACTCTCAAATGCCTGACACTAACCCAGCCACCTCCTCTCCCAAAGAAAAGCCTGCCGTGTCCCACAGAACTGGCTCCCATCTGACTTTGATCCATGCCAGGGATGGATTCCAGATGAATTCCCCAGCATTAGCCTATGGGCCTGTTTCACACGCAATTGCTGGGGTGTTAATGATGCTGAAATTTCAGGCAAACTCCTCGGACTTACTGGGTGGTGGTGGGGGGGGAGGGGTGTCTAGTGTTAATTAAATGCTGATGTAAACCAGACACCTCTGTAGGTTATGTCTACACGCAGCATGCCAGGGGAACTATCTATACACCTGGCTAATAACCAGGAAGTATCTACCTGAGCATGGATGAAACACCAATTGGCCTCAAGATTTCATCAGTCCTTGACTTGATTCTGCCCCACGGTGATCCTAGGCCTGTTCTGATGTTGCAGCACCTTTTTGGGAACCCAGATTTTTCATGACGTCAACATGCCTTCTCCAGTGCTTAATAGGAATGAGTCCAGTAGGTCCATGGCCAGGATCCAGATCCAGACTTCACCTTCAGCTTGTGGACATCATGGCATCTTTGCCCCTTGTTCCTTTAAAGGAAATACGGTGAAAAGCTTGTGAGTTTGAGCTCTGACTAGGGTTTTGCCCGGATATCCTCCTGCTTTCATTTGTCCCCTATGGTTGTCATCGTGTGCCCTAGAGTGCCAGACTTGGGTTTTCTTCTGACCTCTACCCTATGTCCCATGCCGTCAGAAATTCCAGATCCAAGCTTGCTTATGCTTTTAGCTGCTCTTGACAAGAATTGCTGCAGGATTTCCTGTCCCACTCTCCTACAGCTTTCACCCATCTTTAAGTGATTCTCTCTTACTGTCGTGGGTGAACTGACCCTCAGTGAATACAGATGGCAGGTGGGTGAAAGGTACTGTGGGTACAAGTGAAGGCATGCAGGAAAACCCTGCCTTTTCAAGAGTGACATAGGTTACGTCCAGCTTCAAGGCATCTAAACAGTCCTGGTGCCTATAAGCAATGCAGAGCAAACGAGAATTCTCCCCATAATCATAATACATTGCAATTCTCTAGCACCTTCTGTCTGATGATCTCAAAGCTTTCATGATTTTATAGTCAGGGAGGCAGGTTAGTAGTATTATGGCTGTTACACAGGTGGGGATGTAAAACCAAGAGCTGAAATAGCTTCACACACTGATTCTGGCAGAGCTAGGAACGTAACCCATATCGTCTGTCTGTCCTGTCCTTTAACTGCTGCCCCTTTGCATGCTTGTTAAAGCTGGGACTATGCTCATACACTAGAGCGTAGGCAGGCTCTGAAAACGTGTGGATTGGGAGGGTTAACCACTGGATAGTGATTGCACCAGAGCCTGTAACAGCAGTTCCAGTCCCTAAATGCCTAGCCCCAGGCATATCGGAATTATGCATTAATACTCAGCACAACAGCATGGATACTGTAGGGCCGCTTTCTGCCTGCCCTGTTAGCTGACACAGAGGTAATGTCCATGGAGCTGAGACAGGACAGTGCTTTCCTGCTGCTGGTTAACTGTCAAAGTGAAGGATGGAGGGAGGGGACCAGGCAGGGTAAACTGGGGGTGGATGGGAGCAATAAAGGAGGCAGGGTGTCGGTAAAGGAGCAGAGAACGGTAAACCCAGACAGCATGTGTACAGATGGGGTGGCCTTTGCTGACAGTAGCTGGGCATCAGGTGCCTGCTGGGGGATATCTGTGTGTGCCTGTGCTCTGCTGACACCTAGAGTGAGAGCTTCCATCCTGCACACCGGCGAGGGGAGTGTTTGTGCACGTGCAATCGAACGAGCACTTGTGGCACCGACCCGTGTAGTATTATCTGAACCTGAACAGAACCGCTTTGCTTTCAAGCCACGTCAAAACCATCCCATCCCCACCCTTCCTCCTTGCAACCCTGCTTCAGGCTCCCCGCTTCCCAATGCGGGGACAGCCTCTGCCGCTTCCCACCACTGCTTTTCTGTCTGGCTCTCCTCTTTCACATGCACGTCTTGCAATGGTATGGGAGCTTTTGTAGGGACCCCTCAGCCTATGCCTAATTTGGCTGCAGTGGACAATGGAGAGAATTTACTGCAATGCACGGGGCTGCAAAACATTTATTGCTGTGCCTGGTGGAATTGGATTACTTGAGTCTAGTGTGCAGGCCTGTAGCCTGACGGTCCTGCTGGGGAGAGGAAGAGCACATTTGATTGACAGGGCCAGCCTTGAGGCAGGAGCTGAATGGAGTCCGTGGGGAAAACCCATATTTTCAGAACACAGTCCCCTTCTTTCTCCCCGCATCTTCTGGGGGAGTCTGTGGAAGTCATAGCTACACGCTGTCACCCCTTGATGTTCATAAGTGCCGCCCCACCCCTGATGACAGCAGGATGGCCAACTCTAAGCATTCAAAAATCATGAGTCAGGCCCCAGAAAATCATGAGATTGGTTTTAAAAACCATGAGATGTGGGGGAAAAATACAAGTTGGGTTCTTTTTATTTGCCTTCTTGTTTGTGAACCGTTAGGGTCAGTCTGGGCTCACATCATCATGTTTTCTTATACAACCCAGAGGGCTAGAAATTTACTGAAAACATAAACAAACAAGCAAACAAAAGCTGAGATTCTCAGCTAATCCCTTGCCTGGGGGAGCTGGAGCTCTTAAAAAACCCAGCAAATAATGGAAGATGTGGGAATTGATGACACTGTGAGTGCCTTCTCTTGCTGCTGATTATACAAATGAAAAGCAGCAATATTCCAAGGCGTGGGTGCCTTGCGGAGTTCTCTGCTCTGTTCTACGTGAGTCAAACAACCAAAGCTGTAATTAGGGAGAGGGGGAGAATGCAGTTGTAAGAGTCTCCCCACGCGAGCACTTTTCACAAGGCAGCAGGTGTCACCTTAGAATCCTGTTCTCTCTGTTAGTGATCTCTAAACTGTGGGTTTGAGGGGGGTAATGACTAGTGTTTCCTGTTGGATAGCAGTTTTATCCATCCAGGTTGCTTTAGTAATTTTTTTTAAAGTGGAGACATGAAACTCGCCCAGGGAAGGATGAAATCTAGGTCCTGTATTTGTTGGGAGACCAAGAGTGTTGTGGGAAAGAGCCACTTCCTCCAAGAAAGATGCTTTCAAGCTTCCGGAGCAGCATTTATAGTCCTGTCTTTTAATCTGTTTCCCTCTGTGTGAATTCCCTCCCCCCCTCCCCTTCCCCAATATGCCTGTTGATTAGGGCAGAGAGGTTTAGCCATCTGAGTCCAGAAATGAGTGAATCTCTGGTCCCTCTGCTGGAAATTGAGAGGGGGAGGTGACCTATCTCCCTCTTCAATCCCAAGGCCATAGGGGAAGATTTGGCTGGCCCATGACATGCCAGTGCGGCTCAGAACTATGAATTGTCCTCTACTGGGTCACCTGAATTGTTTATGCCATAGACTGCCTCCAGTCCAGGCTCGACCATGCCTCTCAGTGCGCGCCCAGTTCAGATTCCATTGGTCCAGCTCTAATGTTGACTGGTGAAGAAGCCATCAAGCCTGCAATGGGAAACGTAAAATTAAGCACTAAAACGTTTGTTTCTATGGCTGCAACACCTTCCCCAGCCTCTGCACACGCATGCCACATGCTCCCAATTTCTAGAGGGGGGAAAAACACAAAAGCCATTAAACTTTAATTCCTAAACTATTGCTTAACCCAGCAACCATGCGAGTCCCTCCACAACACCTTTCTGTTAGCACTTCCATGGATCATTACCCTTCAGGGATTAAAAGCCTCTCCCCTCCTCTCACGCACACCTTGCCCCCCATCACCCACAACTCCCCTGCTTGCCTTTCCCCAGGCACTAATGAGATTACGGCTGAAACTAATCACACGCCGGGGTGGAGCACTTTGACCAGTGAACCTGCACCTGTTCGCGTGGTTGACCTTTAATGATCAAACTGTGTACGTGTGCAGTTAAAAAAAGGAAAGTGCCCAATCTAGGAGGAATATGTAGTTTTATTTGCCATCAACGCCTGACCCCTGGTGGACAAACAGATACATTAATTCAGTTTCTCAACAAGGCATAGTCTGATAATGCAAGGTTCTATAGGGCATATATTTGATTGTTACAGTTCAGAATTATCACCAATTGTTGGAAATTATAGATATGTATTTTTTTTAAAAATAGCAATCTAGCCTGGTAAATTTTTCATGGGAAATATATCAGGCTGGGCACAAACTCTACTAATCTCCAATGTGTGTGTGTATGAGAGAAAGATTCTGGTTATAGGAATGGGTCGGTAGTAAACTCCTCTCAAAGGTGGCAGTGTGTCATGGCAAAATGATTATTTCTAGCTTTGCAACAAGCTGTGACCTATGTTCTCAATGGCACAATTCTCTTCTATTTTTTTAATAATTTAGTAGCTGGAACACAGAATTGTTTGCTCTTTTACATGCTTCTAATAACATCTCACCAAGGAGGGCCAAAAGAGGGCAATTTTTTTTTCTCATTTTGAAAGGACAGTGTGTTGAAGGATTGTCACTCTTGTGTATGAATTGTAACATGTTCCGTAAATGTCTGTACGTATGAATGCATGTGTCTCCTGCCTGGAAGGGTTGTGATGGGTCTTGCTGTATACAATTTTATATAGGACATGTAGTTTTCCAATACCTTGCTGAACAGGTGATATAGAACCAGGCACATCTAAAATAAAATACCTCTTAAACAGAGCAAGGCAGGAAGGCTAGTCTTGAGTTTCAGGCAGGGGGCTGGCACTTAGGAGGTCTGGGATTAATTCCTGTCTTTGCCGTAGAGACTGTATGATGTTGGACAAGTCACTTTTTCTCTGCTTCAGCTCCATCTGGAAAATGGGAACATTTTCCCATTGAATGTACCCCATAAGGATGTTGTGAGAATACATATTTGGGAGGTACTATGAGGATGAGATGCCACATAGGTAGCCAGTAGAAAGGGGACACTTTCATATTCATAGATGAATCAGGCTATGCTATTTCTTAGGTTTAGTCTATAAAACCTCTGCTATTTAAATAGTATTTGCATGCACGACTATGTACTTCTGTTGAAATATCACCCTGAACGCTTTCCCGACACCATCTGAGAGGAGCTCAATAATGGGAAAATTCCCACTTCCTTGTCAGTACAGTTTATTGTTATTCTGTCATTGATAGGTCACTGTTGCACTGTACAGTAGGTGAAAAGCACCATTAACAGGACTCCAGCACTGAAAGGTTTACATTATAAAGACAGTGTGACTGAGTACTATAGAAACACACAATGAGGTGCGTGTGGCCTTCCTTAATGACAATCAGTTTACAGTATGCCAGCAGCAGTGTGTGCTAGGTGTAGAACCTCTTGTACTTGGACATAGGAAAATCGTGGTAGATGTTTTACTTCTGCCTATTGATTTCAGTGTGTGGGGCCTTATGTGAATTGCAGTAAAATGTAAGATTCTTTTTTTAAGTGCCTCCTGCTGTTAATGTTTTGACTTAAGCTCCCCCAAAAAAGCTTTGCTGGGAGCCTTGTGTGCGACTCCAAGGGCAAAAATCAACCCATACAGCTAAGTAAGGTCATATCGCTTGGTTCGTGTAGTTTGAAGAGGCTGTAACCCTGTGTATCCAAGTCTTTCCACTGACTTCTCTGCTGCAGTTTCACGTGCCTAATTTACCCAGAATGTAAATCAAATTTTGATTGGAGTGGAGGTTTGTAAGTGGACAAAGGACAGATCGGCCTCAGCTCACACCCTCAAGAAGTCTAGATTGGAACATGTTGGCACAGACAACCTTTAGTTTTAAAGTGTAAAATGATTGCCCTACAGCTTGAAAAAGTAGGTTGGGCATTTGTGCCCTCTGGAGATAATTTTGCTAAGAACTCCCAACTGATTCATTTTGCTTTTGTAACTTACGGATATTTTTCTCTAAAACAACCATGATGAGACCTTTTTGGGAGTTCAGCAATTTTGCATCATGCCTCTCCTGAGGCTTTTGCAATTCAGCTTCGAGAATTACATGATTCTCCCTCAGTCCGTTGCATAGCTCCAGCAGAAATAGCAGCCACCGTTTGGGTTTGAAGTTTAAACGTTCCTTTGCATTTCCCATCCATTTTAAACATATTTTCACTGGTATGTGGTTTGGCAGCCCAGGAAGCTGTCGGTGAAAGCATTATTATTTTCCCTTTGTTCAGTGCAGGCCTGAGTTGCATTTGTAAGTGTAAAAATGTCTCAAATCCATAGCAGGTTTTTTTTCTTTGTCCTAAATGTGCTGCAGCATCAGTTATTCTCTGGTAAGTAGCTGTTAATTGCGAGAGTCTCACAAAGAGAGGACTTTATTGTTCCTTCACTCCCCAATTATCAGTAACAATTTGGTCTAACCCAGTCTCCAGATCTCATGAACCATTTCCGTATAGAGCCAACTATGGCGGTCACCAAATGCCAATGCATAGCTGATCCCACAATTGTTTCCTATTAGGAGCATAGGGAAAGGTGTGCTTTGCAAATACCTCAGCAACTGCTGGCAAATTCTGACTTCTTAATGGCACTCACACTATAACTTTCAAAGGTTCCTGGAACCTTGGCTACACAATGTTTGTGGATTGAGCAGCACTTTGATTTCAAAATGTTTGATTCTGCTGTTGAGACTCGCGGACAAGAAGCTAATATTTATGAATATCCATTTGTCACCAAAAATATTCCACAGGAGTTGTTACATACCTTTTGGTGCATTAGAGATGTATTCTCCACCTTGTTTAGGGGTCTAGAGGACAGAGCACTGGAATGGGACCCAGGAGGCCTAGGTTCTGTGCCCTGCTCTGCCATTGGCTAGATGGGTGAAATTGGACAAATTACTTCACCTCTGTATGCTTCAGTTTCCTCATCTGTAAAATGGGAATAATGATACTGACCTCCTTTGTAAAGTGCTTCGAGAGCTATCTGGGCTAGATATTATTTGATCCCTTGCCTACTATTCATTTAAATGGGTTTCAATACACTTCCGTGGAAGGACTGTTTGGTACCTAGAAAAACCAATTATTTTAATACTTGTTCAGTTAAGTGCACCTTACTTTTTACAATTTTCTGTAATGCATCTGTTTCTCTTAGAACATTAAACTGTATGAGAGTTGAGGGGGCTGTGTAACTCATCGGATTGGGCACACTGGAAAAGTTGGCGTGACTGCAGTTGGAGTTCTTGGCGGAGTATGTTAGATATTACAAAAGTTGTATGCACATTGTTGTTCCAGAGTAAACCCTAAAACGCTGTTGCCTTGATTGCTGAAATGCAACAATCTGGTCTTGTCTAGAAACATAAAATAGCTTGTCCCATGTAAACATTAGTCAAAGTGTTAAGATTCAGTTTCAAAACAGGGAAATGGTAGCAGTGTAATTTTATAAATATAGCTTTGCTGTGAGAGACCAAAGGTTTCCTGTTTTGGGATGTCAGTGGTGTTTCTGTTTCCATTGTAAATGGTGAGAGATAAACATTAGTTTTATGCTACATTTCTTTTAGTGTGTGCAGTATATTCCCACATGATTTCAGATAGCAGATGCTTCATACAACTGTGCTTAAATCTGTTTTTATTTAGCGGATCATAATGTTTAGACAAAAATAGAAATGACATTATAAACACATTTTGAAAAGTTTCCCCCTCATTTTCCAACCAGCTCGATTCAGAAGAACTTGATCAATTATCTTAATGATAAGACTCACCTCTTTAACAGTCCTAGTTTGTCACGATTATCACCCCAACTAACCAAATATCGTTTACTAGCAATTAGGTCAGAGTAAATTTTTTATCCAATTTCCCCCTCCCCCCCCAACCAATGAGTTAGCTATGAAATGTATCTTTTTAGGAATCCTGGACAGCAGCAATGATATCTGACCGTAACACTCACAAGTATAAGACAAAAATAAAACAATATTTACCTGAGAACTGGTTCCATTTTCATGGGGCTCTGTTTCCCTAAGAACTTCTAAGCAATATTATTTTACAATTTGTATAGGATTTACAAGCATTAGTTAAATAAAATTAACTATAAACACAACAGTTTTTATCATATGGATTTTAAGATTAAAGAAATCTCGGATGAGGAGGTTAGGGACTTTTCTTGCAATTACCTATGATGCATTTTATTTCTAAATTTAAAATTTTATATGCAAAGCCAATTTCATGAGCCCAGCAGTGAGTTAGAAAATCCCAGTTGGGAGGTTATACTGCAGCAGATATTGAGTGGCAGCTGCTCAATCTCATCTGACCAAGGCTGTAACTGCATGTGGAGATGGGCTTCATCTCTCTTCAAATGGAAAATGAGTGAGGTGTTGAACCATAACTTACAGGAAAGAGATCTATGAAGGTCAGTCTTCCAGTTGAGGTATTGTCTACACTCTGCAGACCCAACACAAATCCTGTCTGTTTTGAAGGGTCACAGCTGTTGTAAATGGACGGCTTCTGTCAGGATGCAGGCCAGCCAGATAGGTGAAGGTGTTGTTAGAACTTGCTACAATGTGGTGAAGTGTTTTAACCAATAAAACCAAGGGATTGTCAATATTTGCAATGATTTGGGATTGACTGACTTGGCAATAATGAAATCTCAGGACAAATTACGGCTCAACTGAATTTTATGTATGATGAAGAACTTATTTTTGCTACATTTTTCAAGAACCTTTCCTGAGCGAGTTCAACAAAACCCTCAATCTACCTCCATTTGGGTTTGTACGGCAGTCTTTTAAATGCAACACTGGGAACTGGTTTGGTCAGACGTAGCTAATCAAATTTACTTCCCCACTGGATTGGT